ACTCTAGCTTTGCCATCAACATTCAAGACAGGTAGTGAAGTATTTCCAGTAGGTGGCTCTAAAGACACCAGGGACAAACATTTGGTATGAAATAAACCAGATTTCTTAATTCAGTTCTGGGCTTACGTGGTTTCAGGCATTAAAAAACACAGATCTGTTTTTCAGAAGGACTTCATGTCATGTAGGATTGTTGCAAAACATGGCTCATCACTGTGATGTAAAATGCAATGTGATGAGGGTAAGATGCATAGTTTTGTGACAGCAGTAAAAAAAATTGGCCTAACACCACATGAGAGCACCCTGTACTTTATATAGCAGTAACCATCTGCATGCATCACTGGTGACACACAGATTATAGTGCTTCTGCACCCAGTATAGCTCAATTAGGTGCAAAATACCATGCATGCTTAAGTTCTTGTACTTAGAACACTGAGAAGTTAGAAACACTAGGAAATTGAGTCAGTTGTTCAAGGTCATGCAATGAGTCAGTGTTAATTGGTGTTGAATTTACATTCTGGGATCTCTTGATTCTCGTTCAACATCGGTTGAAACAGAGGCCTTCCTTTAAAGACAAAATCGTTCATAGTTTTTGGTTTGCATTTCCATTGTTGATCTGATATCATGAAAGAAAATTGTTTGAAAGAGACTACTTGATTTTATGATTAGGAGAAAGAACAATAAATAAGGTCCACGCCTTTTCTCCAGACCCTCTGGAGTTGCTTGCGTTAACCATTGTAATTTGGCATATACAGATGTATTCAGTACCAGGAAGGAGACAACAGTGTAATACAGATAATAATGAGTTGCTACTCATTATTATGAGTATTTTTGATTTACTAATTATTTACTAATGAGTATATCATTATTATGATATTTTATATATCTCTGGATTTGTAATCTTGAAAGGGAAGTGTCTTATACTCAAAAATTTGGTGTCCTCCCTGGATGTTTCTAAGCTAAGAGCCTAAATATCAAAGAAAATCTGTGTATATGCCATAAGCTCAGCAAAAGGGTAAGATACTGTCATGGAATAGAGTGATGTGCATTCTAATTAATTAGGATAACTTGATGCTAACAGTAAGAAGGTAAAGCAATATGCTTTTCTATTTACAGTCAGACTTTGTTTTGCTAGTATAACAGGGAGAAAATACCTTTGCCTTTCTTGCTGGTGGTATTTTTTTGCTTTTCTGTTTTCTTGTAGCACAGTGATGTTGCTGTGAGTTATGTCAGTATAGACCTGCTACTGCAGCCCACTCTGTTCTAATGATTTGATTAAATGTATTAAAACTGATAAGAACCAGTTATATGCTACATTCTGAGGCTTGTTGAGGAGGATAAGGCCAAACATCTACAGCAGTAAAATTGCACTTTTGTATTTCAAGGAGAACATTTTGTTTCTCTGTAGTTTACACTAGTAAAATTGTTATTTACTTTGTGGCTAAAAATTTTTACCTTGCGCGAAATTCCTCAATGCTTCATCTTAAATCTGCCACCTAGGCCAGGTACCTTCCCAGCCCACTTCCTTCAGGATGACTCATATTTCAGTTTAAATAGGAGATCTTCATCAGTCTCTAATTGTTTTATATCTAACATTGCTGTCTATAACACCAGGCAAAAGGTGATAATAAAATAGGAAATAATTCTGATTTTTTGAGTGGCATACATAAGAAAAATTGCTATTATGTTTTCATAACTGGTGTAGGTTAAACATAAATACTTATGTTCTAAAAAATCGCCTTGTTTGGCAAAAAGTGGTTTGTGTACTTGTGTTGATGCTCCTTTATATGATCAGTTTTGGCAGTCTGATTCTTCATGTAGGTTACTTCCTGTGTCAGATTTTGCAGATTCATTTATAAGGAGGTTTTAATATCTGTTGATTTAAAGCACAGTTTCATGGTACAGCTTTTATTGGAGAACAAAAGAAATAGCTGATCCAGAGTCACAGAATATACCAAGTTGGAAGGGACCCACAGGGATCAAGTCCAACCCTTAGCCCTGCACAGGACCATCCCCGAGAGTCACACCATGTGCCTGAAAGTATCATCCAAATGTTTCTTGAACTCTGTCAGGCCTGGTGCTCTGACCACTTCCCTGGGGAGCCTGTTCCAGTACCCAACCACCCTCCGGGCATAGAACCTCTTTCTAATACCCAACCTAAACATCCCTTGACATAACTTCAAGCCATTTCAGGGTGGTTGACAATGAGGAACATCAGAAGAGTTGACAAGTATCACCTTGGTTGTATTCCAGGTTAGGCTTATGGATCTTTTCTTTTGCTTTGCTAAAATTTTAATAGCAGATGCAAAAATGTTACCTAGTTAGCTGAGTTTCAGCATGATTTACTTAGTGTAGTTTCAGGTGCTATCCATACTTACAAGTAGGAACAAAGGGCAAGTTATAGAAGTATGAAGACAAACTTTTTAACAAGGCCTGTTACAATAGAACAAAGAGTAATGGTTTTAAACTGAAAGAGGATAGATTTAGATATAAATCTAAAGGAAGAAGTTTTTTACAGTGTGGGTGGTGAAACACTGTAACAGTGTAACTGGTTGTTGAGAGAGGTGGTGGATGCCGCATCCCTGGAAACATTCAAGGTCAGGCAGGGCGAGGCTCAGAACAAACTGATTTAGCTGAAGATGTCCCTGCCCATGTTATGGATGTTTGATTAGATTCCCCTATGTATGTGTGCCATGCACAGGTATGTTCCTGCTGATGTGGTTGAAGTGGTTTAAGATGTTGCTGACCAGAGGTTGGTGATATTAAGTTATCCCTTCTGTAGCTGAGAAGCAGGAGCTTACACCCAGAGACTTGCTAGATGTTTTTTTTTGGGAGAAGTAAAGATTGGCTTGTTGGAATTGGCATTGGAAGGACTACAAGCGTTGCTATTAGGTCAGTTTCATTTCCATTGCAGAGGTTAAGGAAGTGCATGTCTTATTGCATTTTTAGACTTTGCCGTCTAGGTTTTTTTCAGAGAATTAAAATGATAGTGTGTAGATTTGGGGTTTTTTTTCTTAAAAAAAAATGTATCCTCTGAAACAGCAGTGAGGGTAGTTTTAAATGCTGGCATATGGAAAAAGAATCACTGAGCTTTCTTTCCAAGAAGTCTTTGAGAAGTATTTATTTGCTCTGTGATGAACTGCCTTTCAGAAGAGTTGTTTAAAAAAATGAGAAACTTCAGCAATAAGTTTAGTTTTATTTTTCGGGTAGACTTTTTATATGAAACAACATGATGTACAGATGTTATCAGATATGCAAATTGGGGGTTTCGTTTTTATTTTTTTATTGAGGTGGTGGTAAAGAAGAACAGGAATCTTCAAAATTCTGTTTCTGCACAGTTAGTGTAATGTCTTTTATCATTTGAGACTTGTCTTTCATGTTTAAATATTGTTTGTGCTAGCAAAACACATAAAATGTATTTCTTGCCTGATCACAAAAGTGTAGAAAATCTGTGACTAGGCCCCTATTTTAATAGTCTTTGTAAAAAAATTCTTGGGAAAATCAGAGTTACTAAATTGAGTTTTATGTATTCAATGCTCTCACCAGTAGACATTCTAAATTTATGTAAAGTAGATGCAGCTTCCTTGCAAATATTGTAAGTGTAGACCGGCTAAAAATGAAGTAGTTTTGGTGGTCTAGCAGATCTTGAGTTTATGGAGCTTTACTTCACCTTGAAGAAGAAAAAAAGTAGTAATATTTGATACAGAAACAATGGAAAGAAAGGACGTGAGAGTACTGTCAGATGGTGTTATGTTTGTTCTGGATCCTACAGTCAGAATAGTTTTAGTTTTCTCCTCTGTCCATACAAAATTATTTTGACATTCATTTAGTTTTGCAGAAGTTCAAGAAGCTCCTTTTCATGTGCATTTGATTGCAGGATTGATGTTGTGAATCAGCATGGTATCTTCGTGAAATGCTGCTGTATTGGAGAAAAAAAAATTCTAGATCAACCAGGCATACAGTTTGATGTGAGTTCTTAACAATTAACTAGCGGTGGAGTTTTTTATTTGATTATACTGATAATCGAGCTTTAATGTAACTAATCACTTGGTCAGTTCAGTATCACTGATATACATGTTTTGGTTCTCCCGTAGAGGCTTACAGCTAATCCAGGAGGTAAACAACGTAGCAGACTGTCCATTATGGCTCAGCATCTCTGCAGTGTTGAAAACTGTTTCATAATTCCAGGTCAAGCCTTTGTTCCCAAGCCGGAGGTAGGTTTTGCTGTATTTATATGGGTTTTTTTTGTTAATTTGTCAGTCAAGCAGTGTATCTCATTTTGAGTAAGGAACACAGTGGGCTGCTCTATTTCAGCATCTCGCTATGAAGTGGAGTGATGTGAATTTCCTGTGAACGAGGTGTGCTTACTCTTAAGGAGATGCTTTTCTTTTTTGTTCCTGAGAATTTGGCTTTCACCTTCAAACCTCTCTGCAAGATCAGCATACTTCTTTGGGTGTTTGTGAAGCGGGAGATTAGGATTTAATGGAAGGACAGTTTGCTACTATTGTAGCCTTTTTAGAAAGCCTGCTGTTTTACATTTTGCATTTATGAACCGTTTGGGAACTGTGCCTAGAGAATTTTGAAAGACTGCTTTTAATTTGTCATTTTTGTCAAAGATCTCTAATTTTACCATGTTTATAAATCTTTGTTTCACCCTAGCCATCTTTAGCATGTTTTACTCCCTCCTGTTTGCTATAGCACTTTGTCACCTATATCCCACTGCCTATTTAAAAAAAGTAACAATCTTTTCTACTTCCTATCTGTGAGGCAGAGTGAGTAGAGAACAATCTCTTTGTTGTCCACTTATCTGCTGCCACTGGTTTATATTAGTAGCCATTATGATTGCAGGAATCAAAAATTAATAAATTAATCTGTATTTTGGACAAGAATGGTTTTTTTGCTTGGTTTGGCGTTTTTTTGTAAAAATTTAACTTTAAGTGAGGTCTGTTTCCCCTGAATGCATGTGGAAATCATAGGATCATAGAAATATTTGGGTTGGAAGGGACCTTTGGTCATCTAGTCCCATCCCCATGCAATGAGGAGGAGCATCTTCAACTAGATCAGATTTCTCAGAGCTCAGTCCAGTCTGACCCTGAATGCTTCCAGTGATGAGGCAGCCACCATCTCTCTGGGCAATATGTTTCAGTGTTTTACCGCCCTCATTGTAAAAACTTTCCTCGTTACGTCTAATCTAAATCAGCCCTCTCTTATGTCCTATCAAACTGCTGTTCTGTTTCAGAAATGAACTTGCAGCTTTTTAAACTGGTTGCTTCAGCTCTTCATTACATTTCCATTCCACCTTATTGCAGTCTCTCTCAAGAGATTTTCAGGTATATCTCTTGAGAACCTTTGGAAGGTTATTCTCGCTCATTTATCAAAAAATTCCAGTTTTATGGTGGATGCAATTTGAGTACTAGTAGCGCCAGTGTAGTCAAAAGTTTTGTGCAGCCTGTGTCTCAGAATTGGGAAGCTATAACTGAAATTCCCGTTTTCCTGTACTGAAAAGGCCATAGTTGACCAAGAGAGAGGTAACTTAGAAAGTTGTGACAAATTTCTTAGTATAAGCACATCCTGCAGTTAGTTGGTGCTCTGTTGAATAAAAAAAGCAGTACCACTAAAGGCAAGCATATTTTTATTTAATGTATTTCTTTGAGTTAAAACAAGAATTGCTTATATTGCAAAAGCAGAAAGTACAATTTTTTCAGGCAGAACTGGCACCTGTTTTCACTATATTTTGTTTCCTTCAAACTCCTGTTGTAGATTGAACTTCTCAATAGATCTTCTCATAGAATCTATTTCCTTGGAAAGCTCCTTCAGTGTGTTGTGAGTGAAGGGCTCAGTGCTCGATTTTTTTTTCAGAGAGTTCAGGTACTTCTGTATAAAGTTTCAGGAAGAAAAATTTGTAGTGTGTGTAACCAGTGAATATTTCATTTTGCTCATAGGATACAATTATTACCTTTCTCTTATGCCCTTCTATAAAATTATACCTTTTGATTACAGTGTTACAGACGTTAATTTTAATTAACATACATAACAATGATCACATCTTAGTGTCATGTCAAAGCCCTTATTAAAGGTGGAGATTCATGTTTGTGAGAATAAGTTGTTTACCTCAATTCTCACAATGTATAAGTATTATTTCAATACTACTATGAATGTCGAGACATAAAAGACTCTTGGTTTATGGAATGGAACGGTGCTGCATGACATTGTGTCTAAGAAAAGAAAATTTGGCTTTTGTGTCATAGTTAAGTCTCTGAAATACCAAGTAACTGCTGATAGTAGCATTAAGAATAGTACAAAACAAGCTCCTTGATTAATACATAGGAAACTCAAAATGCCTGTAACAGTAGTAAAAAAAGCAAATGTAATGCCATTCTTTGTATGAAGAATTAAGACTCTCTGTGAATAAAGATTCTTTACGTTTTAAACTCATAAAACAGTCAACTTTCCCAAATGCTACAGCAGAAGATCTTACTTTTTCCAACATAGTAAACATATAATGTTTAGGTTCCTTCATACTGTTTTAGCAGATTTGGGCTAGTAACATGGGAAATGAAAGTTGTATATAAATATGCAGAATAAATACCAGCTGGTTTTATTGAAAGACTTATCCAACCTTATCATATTCCTAAATTTAAAGGCCTGAATTGTACCCCTTTTTATTCATCAATATTGTTGTCGTTTAGGGAAGTATTTAGATAAAACATATTGGCAGTGACCATTTCAAAGCAAAATCTGGGTGGTGAAAGAAAAGATTAAAGGATTTAAGGTAATTATTCAAAATAAGGGAGTTAAGAAAATAAATAAAGGAACTGTCTCTTTATCATTGTTGTCTGCTATATTTTGCAGGAGTGGGCCTGAAACAGACCCTACAGGAATGATTAAAAGGACTTATAAAGTTTTTTTAGAAGGTCAGAACTGTAGAAGACAATGATTGGTAGTGTTATTTAAGCTGATAATAGCTGCTTTCAGCAAGTGTAAGCCAGAACGCTTACAGATTTTTCTTGCATATAGTTTGGTTTGCATGCTGTTTGTTACAGTTTGCAGCTGTTTTCAGAGGTATGGTTATGTTTCTGTTGTTTTATTGCTCCTCATATCTAACATTCATTGTGCAGTGATAGATTAGTAGCAATTGGTGATTGTCCAGCTGACATTTCTTTAACAATGATCAATGAAACCCACAGCAGGTGGCAGTTCGGGGTGCGAGAGCTGTGTTTGGCAAGATCTGAATGGTACTGCTGATTCTTCAGCCTGATATGCAGAGTATACAGTGCAGCTAAGGTTTGGAACCGTGAACTTTCATTGTGAGGTTTTTTTTTTTTTTTTTTTTTTTTTTTTTTTTTTTTTTTTTTTTTTTTT